AGAAAAATGATCATGTATATGAAGTTATATTAGGGAAGTAAAATTTGAATTTAGAAATGAGTAAGAAAATTTAGTTGAAATTTTTAGTAATGAAGAAAAACTTTAAGTTAAAAGCTTTTAGTGTAGAGAATTTTTAATATAAGTAATTATCTTTAATAAGAAAAATTATATTTTTGAGAAATTTAGAAATTTAGACTTTTATTTTTAATACTTAAAAATTTCTTTTATTAAAATAATTTTAAAAACTATTATTATATTTATAAGTAAAAGATTTATATCATGACTTTTTTTTAGGAAAGGAGAAGTGAAATTCAAAATCATTAAAGACCTATCCAGATATAGTAATTCTTGCCTTAAAAAAAAAAGAAAAAAAAAAGAGAAAGAGAAAATTAAAAATAAAAGAAAAAGAAAAAAAAGTAAGGGAGGAGAAGCTTGAGGAATAGTGCCTAATCAAAAATTGGTTTCACATTTAATCTTTTTAAAGTATAAGACTTGAAAAAATCTTAAGCTTAAAAATATAATATAGTAAATAAAATTATTCTTAATAAAAATTTTTAAGTGGAGATAATAGAAGGACTAAATTCTAAACTTGAAGAATCTACAATATTTTTGAATTAGATAGGAACTCAAATTTTCATCTTTCTTAATATTAAAAATTTCTAAACTTTAAGTTGGTCTCATTTACTGAATATTTTTTCTAAATTGGACTACTATATTTCTAAATCTAAATTTTAGTAACTCCTAAAGAAACTCATATACATATCATACTTAATTAGTTTTTAAGGATTGAAGTGTCAATTGAGGACAAGTAACATTTTAAGTTTGGGGGATTTCGATACACCTAAATTAGATAGTATTTTAAAATGCATTTTTATACCTGTTTTTGAAATATTGCGCTTTAATGAGAGGTATTTGTGTGTTTTTCTTTCAAGTACAAGTAAAAAGATGAAAAATGTTAAAAGGAGTGAAAAGGGATCAAATTTGGAGCAAAGAAGTGAAAATTGTGCTAAAGTGTTTTGGCGCCTGAGCGCCAAATCCAGCTCTTAAGAGCCGGTTAAACAGATAAGGCCGCGTCTAAGTGCTAGAGGCCCCACGCTTTAGTGTCAGAGGTAGTTATTTGGCGGTTTTCTTCATTTGGTCAAATTTTGAAGAGGTATTTGACGCACCTATTAGCTAAAGATCGTGGTTATAACCACTAGGAACAAAAATATTATTAAAAGACATGTGAAAGGAGACATCCTTTGGATAATACACCGAATTGGGCACATTTTAAGGAATTATCAATGCACCTTTTGAAATTTATAAAAGAAGGAAGTTGAGACATTTGGAAGTGGGTGCTTGAAGAGGGAAAGAGTGTCGAGTCCTGGGAAGATTGTGGAGAATCTTGTGGAGAGATTCATGCACTACAAAAATTAACTTTATCCTTTTTGTTTTTAGTTTATTTTGAGAGTGTTGTAAAAGAGAAGAGATTCAAAGAAACTTCAAGAGTTTGGTGGAGGATTTGAGATAAGTTATTTTCTTTTATTTTAAACTACTTTTGCTTTTAATCAAAACTTCTTATTGGTTTGACAATAATTTCTACTTTTAAACTAAAGTGTGTTTTTGTTTTCTCCATAGATTTTGAGTAGTTTTTATTATTTTTCTCCTTAAAATGATAAGTAATTAAAGTTTGGATGAAAGTTGTGGAGAGTATTGATCTTTAATGTTGGAAGAAGTTGTGATGATTTAAATCCATGAACTTCATTTACTTATTCATTTACTTCTTGATTTGGTCTATCCAGATGTTAAAATTTGTTGTGAGAACATGTAAGAACCGGGCTGGTATTGTCTTAGTCAACAATTGGAAAGAATCACATGAGGTTGAATGAATGAGAATGTAATTCATATGATTTAATGCAAATAAATAGAAAAATAATAATTGAAGGGTGTAGAGTTAGAAGACTTTAACGTGACAGGTTAAAACCCCCCAACTTGGTTTATTATTTTAGGTTATGGTATGAGATGTTGCCCCTGGGTGGAGGGAATAGAGGGAACTCAAGAATGAGAGCTGGTTTCTTCCCTGCCTAGCCGGTCTTCAAAATTATTCAAACTTTAAATTAGTCAATGTTCTTTATATCATCTCTAGTAAGGGTAAAGAATATAATTTCTTTTATTTGACACAACACAATTTACATACTTTCACAACATAATTCATATGCTTATTACAGATTCATAAAAAGGAGAAATATATTTTCAAATTCAGTTTTTTTCTTTTACATAAACTCAAGTTATCTTTTTAAATTATTATTATTTTTGTCAAAACATCAAAAATACTAAAAAGATTTGAATTTTAATTACTGCGAATGCATCTCTAGTTTAAGTAATTGTCTTTTTAAAATAGAAAGTTTGCTGTTCAAAAGTGCATATTGTGTATTTCCCTATGTGTTCGATATTCAGGTCTTAATCAAAAGTCCTATATTATTTGATAACGATACGTCTGCTTGCGTAATATTTCAATATATATAAATTAAATAGTTAAATTCTTATTTTCTTCAAGATCAAGTTTTTTGTTCTTGTTGCAAAATAAAGAAATATAAGTGAAAATTGTTATATTGTTGCATATAAGCAGTCGGGATCATAAGGCAATGGTTTTGAGCAAAACCTAAAATGGATAAAGAAATGGGAGAGGTGAGAGGGGAAGCTTACGAGAATTTCGGGGAGAAGGGGAGAGCGAGAGAGGCATGAAGAGGAAAAATGAAATTTAAGTGTGCGGGATAAATAATTTTGGTAAGTGCATCAGATTTTTGTCTAATTCACGTCGGACGTAATGCAATGCTAATAAGTAAATTTTTTGTGTCGCTTTGTTAAACGTAAATTCGACGCAAAATCCTTTGCAGCTCCAATTGAAATTTCACTGTATTCAGAGCACTTTTTCATCAAATTTTTTGACGCAAAATCCACAGCAAATATCAAAATTTATTATGCACTGCTAAATAGCTACAAATCCAACAATAATATTTACGTTGTAAAAATCCAATGCAAATATCAGATGTTAATAATATCTTTTCTAGTGACACTATTTGTAGGAGTTCAATCTGCGAACTAGACTGCCCATGTAATAACTTCAGGCCAAAACTCCTTAGGCAACTTCTTACTCTTAAGCATACTCTAGTTATGTCAATGATTATTCAATTATTTTTTTTCTATTATAACATTTCATTTTTACCGTCGCATTAGTAAAAAAGAAATTGATGGGTTTTAAAGAAAACCAAGGGTGGAAAGCTTGTAGGTCCTGATGATATCCCAATTGAAGATTGAAAATATTTAGGAGACTTGGGAGTTTCTTGGCTTACTAAACTCTTTAATATTATGTTAAAAACTAAAAAGATGCCTAAGAAGTGGAGGAAGAGTATTTTTGTCCCCATTTTTAAGAATAAAGGGGATAGACAAGAGTGTGCAAATTATAGAGGAATTAAGTTGATGTGTCATACTTTAAAGTTATGGGAGAGGGTAATTGAATATAGGTTAAGACGCATTACAAAGATTTCTCATTATTAATTTGGATTTATGTCGGGCAAGTCTACTATGGAAGCTATACATTTATTGAGAGGTTTGATGGAGAAGTTCAGAGATAATAAGGAGAATCTATATTTGATTTTTATTGATTTAGAAAAAGCTTACGATAAGGCTCCAAGAGATATCCTTTGAAGAGTTCTTAAGAAGAAAGGTGTTGATATGACTTATATTAAAGTCATTAAAGATATGTATACTAGAGTTGTCACTTGTGTTCGAACTGAAGGAGGATTAACCAAATATTTCCTATTTATGTTGGATTACATCAGGGATTGGCTTTAAGCCCATTTCTTTTTGCTTTAGTTATGGATGATCTTACTGGACATCTATAGGAGAATGTACCTTGGTGTATGCTTTTTGTTGATGATATCCTTCTCGTGGATAAAACGAGAGAAAAAGTCAGAAAAAACTTGAATTATGGAGGTCTACATTTGAAGTGGAGGAATGCTTCAGGCCTTTTGTGTGATAGAAAAGTATCGCTTAGACTGAAAGGAAAATTTTATAAGAAGGTGATGAGACCTGCAATGCTCTATGGCGTTGAATGTTGGCCTTTAAAAGAGAAGCGTAATAAAATGTGAAATGAATATATTTGTGATAGGGTTGGTGTAGCTCCTGTGACAGACAAAATTAGAGAAAGTCGTCTTAGATGGTTTGGTCACATTAAACGTTGACCATCTGATGATTCGATTAGGAGAGTAGATATTTTAGATTCGACTTGTGTTAAGAAAGGTAGAGGTAGACCTAGGAAGACTTGGGTTTATTGTATAAAAAATAATCTTAATTTACTAGAACTAAATGAAAATATGACACTAAATATGACGCAATGGAGAAAAAGGATTCATGTAGCCGACCCCATGTAGTGGGAGTAAGGCTTTGTTGTTGTTGTTGCTGATAACATTTCATTGAGGAGATTTTGGGACAGTCAACAGGATTTACCGTTGGTTGTCCCAAGAAAATCTAGAATACAACCATGAATTATTGAAAATAAATGCATCCAGATGAAAATGCATATATGATTCATACAATATTTTTAAAACTTAACACGAAATAAATTTTCATACCAAGAACAACATATTTTTATGAAATGTAATTACTAAGATTAAATCATGTATAGATATATATAGAAGATGAGACAATCAAATATTGTATGTTGTATATGGAAGTTATATTTTTCTTTCATGTGCCCTTGTAAGCATAAACTAAATGTGGATGACGAGGAGAAAGAAAGAACCCTGATTAAAAGCCCAGTGATGACGCGGAGAAAAGAAAAAGCACCCAAATCTCAAGCCTTTACCTATCTAACTTCTATTTTTACGGGAAAAGCATCTTCAACACACATGAAACGGTGTATTTCAGATTGCGGCAAGGTAGACTGCAACCAAGAAAAAAATACAATCTTGTCCCCTTTCCTTTCCCTTTCCCTTTCCCTAGAGCTCCAGAAATGGGAGGAAAATGGGCAGTCTTCCCACCGAACCATTCCTGCCACTAGACCCTGACCACTTCACCACAGAATCCAAAGCCGTCGTCGACTTCATCGCCGACTACTACCGCCAAATAGAGCTCTTCCCTGTTCGCAGCCAAGTAAAGCCCGGCTATCTCCATGACCGCATTCCAAACACACCCCCCATTCTCTCCGAACCCATCACCACAATCCTCCACGACATCAAAACAGACATCTTTCCCGGACTAACCCACTGGCAAAGCCCCAATTTTTATGGCTACTACCAAGCCAATGCCAGCACTCCCGGTTTCACCGGAGAGCTGCTCTGTTCCGGCCTGAACGTGGTCGGCTTCACCTGGATCGCTTCCCCTGCCGCCACTGAACTCGAAACCATCGTCATGGACTGGATGGCCAACATGCTCAAACTCCCATCAACCTTCCTTTCCGGGCACCTCCGCTGCGGCGGCGGCGTTATCCACGGCAGCACGTGCGAAGCGGTGCTCTGCACTCTCGCCGCGGCTAGAGATAAGGCTTTGAGCAAGTGCGACGGCGAAGGGATCACGAAGCTGACGGTATACGTCTCCGACCAGACACATTTTACGGTTCAGAAGGCGGCGAAGTTGGTCGGAATCCCGGCGCGGAACTTGCGGGTGATATCGACCTCCGGGGAAACAGGGTATGCGTTGACGGCGGAGAGTGTGAGGGCGGCCATGGATTCTGATCTTGCGGCGGGGATGGTGCCGTTGTATTTGTGTGGCACGGTGGGGACGACGGCTGTGGGGGCGGTGGACCCCATAAGGGAGATCGGCTTTGGTTGGGGGGGGGTTGGGGGGGGGGTTCCCGGGGGGG